GGCGGCTGAGTGACTGAGTCTGCAGACTGTGGCGAATACGCTTTTGTGCTTAGGCCGTAAATAGGCTTGTATCATATCATCATCCGCCGAGCGGGTACAGAAGATTTACCATTTGTCACCTCACTCGCACTTGAAAGTGCTCAGAAACAAGGAGGCTAGCTAAAGGCGCTAGCTTCCGCACCGCTAGCCAGCTAGCTATCTTCAGGTACAGGTAAAAAGATGAAAAATTAGGTAAAAGCAGCTGTTCTTAATTAGTTTTGTAGTTTTCAGGTATAAGAGCATGTCAACCCGTCTATGTTAGCATCTGACTAATTTGACTAGCTGCTACCTAGTGATTTTGCACCAAAATATATCAATGCCAAACGATATGAGAGTTTACTCCTCTTTTGTTATTTTATTATTAGCATTTAGCATTGTTTTTATCTTGCTGCCCATGCCTTTTTGGGTCTGTAACCTACCAGTTGAGGTGGTTATCTTTACAAGAAAAACATTTAAAATGACAAACACTGTGTAATACAGTGGTTTTTATGGCCTATCGCTAAGAAAAAAAAATCACTCATGCTAAACACGCTAATCTTGAAATGCTCAGAAAATAAGAGGGCTAGCTAAAGGTCACCGCTAACCCCACCTATCTTCTGTAAAGGTGAAAAGATGAAAAATAAGGTTCTTAGCTAGATTTGTAGTTTTTGAGGATGTGGGCATGTCACAAACCCAATCTATATTAGCATCTGGCTAATTTGACTAGCAGCAGCAAATTCACTTGTCACATTTTTGACAATATATATTTTGACAAAATATTTTTATTATTAGCAATTTTAATTGTATTATTAGCATTGCTTTTACCCTGCTGCCTATGACTGAATCCGATCAAACCTGACCCACTTTCAAAGTTTATCTTTATGGGAAAAACATATATAACATGACGTACAGTGTGCATACAGCGGGTCTACAAGGACTATGATAAGAAAATCACTCTCGCCAAACCTGCTAATCATGTTGATCTGAGTCTTTAATTTGTCAAGTTCCAGCCACATGACTGAATGAGATACTTGCTGCCTTGATTTTGCCCAACAACGACTCTCTGTGTCAATAAAAATCTGACAATGCAAGAGATATCAAGGACCTGCTGTCAAGGATAAGGGAGTGAGGGGTTAAGGTATATTCTGTCAGAGAAATGTTCAATCCAACATTGACATCCCTGCTGCAGTTGAAGGCCTCGAACTCTTGCGGTTCTGATGTCAGAAAGTAGATCACAGAGAAAGCAGAAAACTACAGCATTTACTGATGTTACTCTACGAGCTTATTTACAATGAATGCTTAATTGGATTTGCGGCAAATAAACATAGATGACACACTTGGCCTACATCTGCACCTCAGATTAGGCTACTCCACTGGCTTCTGCTGTGTTATCGTACAAAGCAGACTAATTATGGCCATTCACTCTGTACAATATTGCCTATGCAAAAGATCTAATTTCAGGCCACAATTTTCCTGCTGAACGCAGTCTTCTCCATCTCACTCTATATCTGTCTTGATTACTGCAGTCCTTCCTGTTTCTCTTCATCCCTTTTGGGACAGCTAGTGCCCGAGGAGAATGAAAATGTAAATTACACAGAGTCTGGTCCATCATTTTTGCGCAAGTCCAAAAAATATGACTCTGAGATTTTGGTGGTTGGTGCCCACTGTGTAATTTTTTGCCACAATTTTGCCAGCTAACACAGATTTCAGGGATCGCAAAATATATCAAAATCAGTCTTTTGTCTATCCTCTTGTTTTTTAATGATTTAACGTAACAATGTTTATTGAAATTACAATCACAATCATGTAAAACGCTGCCAAACGACTCTTATCGCACACTGATTTCACTTAATTGGCATTAAAAGATGAAAATCTGTTTTTTTTATAATGATACTCATAACATATAGGACTGCACAAATTTCTGTCACAATGTTTATTTTGTAATGTGTAAGTTTGGAAATTCTGATTCGTTCTAGCTGAATCACTTTATTTAGACGGTTCACATAAAATGATTCACTAATTCAAGTCCCTGCATGGCATTTTAGTCCTTTTAACAGCAAACTAAACTTTTTATTTGTATTTAGAAGTATACTATTACTTTTCTAAGCGATCAGGCTTACAATTTTCTTATGACCAAATTAAATTAATAACATAATATGCCAATTAATCCAATTAAATGAAATCGCATAAATCAATATTCGACAAAGTAGTACACACTTAGCAACCACTAAAATCACCCAATCAACACCTTAGCAACCACAAACAATCCCTGGTAACAACATACAACAATTTTGCATGAGAAAACACCACTCTCACTTTTATTCAGAAAATTAAAAACAGGGCAGTCAATTGATTATAAACCAAATTAATTATATAATATGCCAGTAAATGAATCTAGTTATTTGAAATTATAACACAAAAATCTATGTACAAGCTTAGCAAGCACACACAATTCTTCATAACCACCTACAACAGTTCTGCATGGGAAAACACCACTCACTTTTATTCAGAAAATGAACAAATTAAGTCTTTAAACTGATTATAAACTAAATGAATTACATAATATGCAAACTGAGAAAAGTGTCCAGTGATTGACCTCACATTCTTGCAGCTCTGTCTCCGCTCAGAAACAAGGGGGCTAGCTAAAGGCGCTAGGTTCCGCACCGCTAACCAGCTATCTTCAGGTACAGGTAAAAATATGAAAAATTAGATAAAGCAGCTGTTCTTAATTAGTTTTGTAGTTTTTGAGGAGGAGGGCATGTCACACAAACTATGTAAGCATATGATAAGAAAAAAAAAACACTTCTGCTAAATGCTCAGAAACAAGGAGGCTAGACCCCTTTAATTTGTGACATGGGTCTGAATAAGAGGCATGGGTGATTGGCACGTCCCCTCCATACTACCCGCAGTGATAAGGAAGTATTGGAGAGGGTTGGCTTATCCGTACAGGTCGTTCCACTACGTTATGATTACACCCTTGTGCCCTTTTTCAGTTTCAGCACATGCCCCTCAAAAGGTCTGTGCACGGCCCTGCCCTTGGTCCTGAGCCGCACACACACACACACACACTCACCGCCCCTCTCACCTCCCGGCCGTCAAGAAGAAAAACTGACAGCAATTACATGTGTGAGCACACTCGCGCGTGGGTGCGGACAAACACTTGCATTCACGCTAAGACGCTTTTGCAGGTGTTCGCATCAGTTCTTATAGAGTGCTGGCACTGACTGCAGACATTATGTGTGATTCCCACAGCCTGCGTCTCAAATCTTGGCAGCACTGTGACGGGCAAATCCGAGTCTTCCAAGAGTGCATATCAAAGTAAAGCACTAATGTGCTTAGACCATTATGCTAGTTATACAGGCCTTTGTGCACGTAGTTCTGACTGCTTAGTAGCATTGAATGTGTTTCATATACTAAAACCACATTTGAAATCGCAGCACAGGCAGACATGCTTATTGCTTAAACAACAGGCCACTTTAGAGAGCAAAGCAGTAGTTGAGGATTAGCTTCTCAGATATATACAGAGTCAAATCCACAAATCCTTTCAATCAAGTCTGTCATTGTTCAATGAAACTCCTTTAAATATGTGTATACGTAAAATGATATGTAATATGATAAAAAGGTATTATTACAAACAAACCATTGCCATTTTTAAAATAATTAAGTTCTGTATTATTACAATTCATTTTAATAATTGCAACAGTTTATACAGACACACACCTATTTATATATAATTTATTGTAATATTTTATTAAAATCACTATATATATATATATATATATATATATAATAACCTTAAACCGCATAAACACATTGCATTACACCAAATACACAACATAATGTTCTTTTTAGCAACATCAGAAAGACCCCTTTAATATTTTATTTTATTTTTTTATATATGTATGTCTATATAGTTTTTATTAACTTCTATATCAGTTTGAGTTATTTTATTAAGTTAAACTAAATTAAAATGAAAAATGTTGCCTTGTCAACGAGCTGAAATAAAATTGGTTAAAGCATGGCTTTGATTTAAGTTTCAGTTTTAGGTTTAATTAACTATAATAACCTTGTTTCAGTAAACATTATTGAGAAATGTATACTTGGTCATGTTATTTATGTATTTATTTATGAATTAATGTATTTTATTTTTATTTTATAATTTATTATTTGATTTGATTTTGATTTTGTTCTGTTTTGTTTTATACCATATCACCATCTAGGATTATTTCCATGGCAAGAACAGGGCAAAAAATACTGTTAACAAATTAGTTAAACAAATTAATGATTATTATAAATAAAAATTATAAATAATTTATCGACAGATGAATTCTGTCTGAGATTGTTTAGGTGCACCTAAAAATTTAAAATTCTAGTAGTTTTCCTGTTGATAGTTACTAAATACATCATATAGATAACAAATTAATTCATAGTCAAAAGACATTAAAACAGCAGAGATTCAGGTTTTCGCTATTTAATCAGAAAATGACTAAATGTAAATGCCTTTTAAGACACACTTGAGATGGATAGCAAATTGCATGGAAATGTATTGTGCTTTCCCAATCGGATCACAATCTCAAACAGCTCCAATGAGATGCAATGAGATGCAACTTTGATGCCAGCACACAACGTCAAAAAGCCAAAAAGCTAATGAGTAACAATTACCTCACTATAAAAACCTAACAGTGCAAAGACTTACATGGCATTTTGAAATCATCAGGTCTTTCTCCCATTTTGACATTCAATGAATATGAATGCTGGCATGATACAGAGTAAAAGTGGCATAATATGTTGATCAAGATTGGCTTAAAACATTTACAGACTGATAAAAGAACATTTAATGCGTCACAACCAAGGCGTATGTTCGCTTATGGTGTTAGATATGAAATTCAACCCTGCAGGGTGACCATCCACCAGTTAACCACAGCGAAAAATCAATGGAGGCTTGATTATATAAAGAAAGAAAAAAAATACATTTAACTTACATCTCGAAAAGTTGGAGATTCTGAAAAAGTTGCCATGAGAGAGTTGTCAGAGGGTTCCCGGACAAGTTTCTGCAGTGGAGAGAAAAGAGAGAGAGAGAGACAGAGAGAGAGTTTAATGATTTAACACTGACTATTTGCGACAAGGTGATAAAGAAAACACAGGGGAGGCAAACAACGGCAGTGCGGCGACCGGCCAAAAGTTAACGGAATAAGTGCAGCAGTACGGTACCTTGCAGCCTCACCAATCCAATAAACAGAGACTTGGTCATTTTCAAGACAACAAATTAAATCGGGGAAAAGGAGGCCTGGAGCCTTAAAAGCAACTAAACTCAATACAATGCTAAATGACTGTGAAGCAGATAAGGCATGTTTTCAGAACAGAGCTTTTAGATTTGGGAGGCCGAGATGGAAGCATTACTCCAAAATAGAAGTGAGGGTCTCTAAATGATGTTTGTGTCAAGTCCCACAACTAATAGAGTGGGATGGCACAGAAATGAAAGGTATTATGTGTATAAAGCTGTTCAAGATTTCACCGAAGCTCTCCATAAGGAGAACGTTTGGAGTTAAACTAAAAGTAAACATCTTTTCTCTTGCACGCATACATGCACAAATACATACAGTACCGCCTTGTGGTATGGCAGCAAGCAATGCCTCTCCTGGGGCTGAAACAAAAACCCTGGAGCCTCACTAACAGGCCTTCATTATCAATATTTATTGAATACTTCAGATCACTTAATACCCCAACACTGGCCCGCTCAGATCCTATCAGGTGCAGCTGACAGATAATCAATGCACCCAGATGCATCCTTTCGCCCCAGTGGACTGAAGCCTGCTGACTGGCCGTCCCTGACCCATTCCTTCACCTGCATTTTATTTCATCAACTACTGACAGCAAAACAAAAGATCATTACAGCTAACTAGAACTATTGTACATAAAACAATGGAAGTTGAGCCCTGTCAGCCTAAATGCAGATCTGGGCCTGTACAACCTGAGTTAACCAAGCTTAAATATCACACATCAACTTGAAATCAAAATTAATCATTTTAATTCTGGGCCTATGTAATGCATGTTCCTGGTGTTATTGTGCACAAATATTTAAGAAAACAGGGATGCTTATTTTAGCAAGGTTGCATTAAACTGATCAAAAGTGACAGTAAAGACTTTTGCATTGTTATATAAAAAAATAAATAAACAATCCATTTCAAATAAATGCTGTTCTTTTAACTTTCTATAATAACAAAAAAAATGCTAATATAAAAAAAATATTACGCAGAGCAGCAGTTTTAAAAACTGATAATCATTTAAATAATCACTTTGCCATCACTGTAATAAATTAAAATATAAATGTTAATATATATTAAATAGAAAAAAAAAATCAAAATAAAGAAAAAATATTTTAAATTGTAATACTATTTCAAAATATTACAATTTTCCTTTTTCCTTGTTAAGTCTTCTGTGAAAAAAACATTAAAAAATTAAAATTAAAACTTGGTAGTGTGTGCATGCGTGGGTGTTTGTGTATATATACACACATATATTTACACACACACACACACACACACACACCCATTGAATTTCTTGACAAAATTAAATGACAAACAGACAGACAGACAGACAGACAGACAGACAGATAGATAGATAGATAGATAGATAGATAGATAGATAGATAGATAGATCTACATGCCAGGCTACATGCCAAATTTTCTCAAGGAAAAAAAATCTCTCAACTAATGCTGTAAAATATACATGAGAGTCAGTTAGTACTAGCTACATTACTATAATATTTAAGGTTAAAACTGATTTATAGGTAACACAACTGCTAAAATTACACTTAATTAAGTTTTTAAAATAATAAAGTTATAATTACATAATATTTTTACTTCAATTCGTTTTTTTTTTTTAAATAGGCTATAAACATTTAAATAGTGGCTGTCATAAAACTTTATGGATTAATTCAAACATAAATTAAACACTGAAGAACAGTAAAAAGTATAATGAAGATGTTACAGTCGTGGTCAGAATTATTGGCACCCTTGGTAAATATGATCAAAGAAGGCTGTGAAAATAAATCTGCATTGTTAATCACTTTGATCTTTTATTTTAACAATTCACATAAATCTAACCTTTCATTTGAAATGGGGGAAAATCTCATTATGAAATAAATGTTTTTCTCAAATACACGTTGGACACAATTATTGGCACCCCTAGAAATTCTTATGAGTAAAATATCTGTGAAGTATTCCCATTCATATTTACAATTTTGAGCATAGCAGGGTGATTATGAACATGAAATTATCCAGCCATGGCTTCCTGTTTCACAGTTATGTCATAATGATATTTCCCCCCATTTTAAATTCTTATTCTCCAATGAAAGGTTAGATTTATGTGAATTTTTTAAATAAAAGATCAAAATGATTAACAATGCAGATTTATTTTCACAGCCTTCTTTGATCATATTTACCAAGGGTGCCAATAATTCTGACCATGACTGTATATGGTGCATATACTGTATTTAGCAACATGCCCCTCTCTACAGTTTATTTTTCTAGCTGACTAATGTGTTTATGGTCACCGAATATGTTTTTCTGAGGTAAATGTGATGTTACGTGACATTGTTTACAAGCCCTTATATTGACGTCTTTGCGCGGCTAAAACACTGATTGAGCGATTACATGAGACAGGATACGGATTGTAAAGTTGTACTCTTTCTTTTAACTTTCCTTCGGATGTTTAGTCATGTTTATTTTGTGCTGAAACTGGTATTAATGCAGAGGAGATGATCGTTTCACGTGCGCCTCGCTCTGTTGAACTGAGGCGCTACAGCGATCTGTCACTCCACATTAAACAGCGCCAAAACGGCATTTATTGTTTGAATACTGCAATACAAAGGACATAATTTGAAATCTGAGACTTTGTTTCATATTAAAAGTACCAAAGCACAATGCTTATTGCGATATATTGGATGGGAAGTGCCCTTCAACGTTCCGTCCATTAACTGAAAACAGGCTAGACTAATCGATTCTTGGGATTTAAGAATCGATATCATTCCGTAAAAAATGAGAATCGATTCAAATCGAGATATCTAAAAATTTTTATCCAGCCCAGATAGATAGATAGATAGATAGATAGATAGATAGATATTTTATTAACCAGGAAAGGTTAATTGTATTTTATTTATTTAATTATTTTTTTTCACCTGCAGGTGGCAGAGTATGTCTGAAAAGTTCTTCAGATATGTCAACCTTGTTTAGTAACCCCAGCATGCATATTTTGGTAGCTAATAAAGTCATAATAGGCTAAAAGAGAGCTTAAAGGGCCCTTTTGGCATATCATGGTACAAAGATGTAAGTACCACTGTAAACAAGGTACACTTCCTGGAGAGTTCTTGAAAGGAACCAATCTAATCTGAATCTGCTTAGCTGGTCCCTAGTGTGGCACAAAAGGAATCTCCAGCAGCAAAAAATAAATAAATAAAATAAAAACGTGCTTGCTGCTCTGACTTGTTGCCATAGCAACTTCAGCCTGTGAATCCTCAGACTTTCCTTTCTCCCCATTTCCTGTGTCGCAGGATGGGAGGCAGGAACCAGTGACGGAGAGCGTCCTGTGACACACCGTAGATGAGAGAAGGTGACGAGTGGTAAAAAGACAGACAAAAATGTATAAATTGACAAACAAAATAACCTTCGGATCTTCAAATGAAAGTTTCTCACTAACGCGCCCACTCCTGCTCCGCTTGCCCTCGGCATTCTAATCACCTCATTAAATTGATAATGAGATTATTAGGGTGGCCTCCACAGGGACACACAAGGGCTCCATATTTTGGTGGGAACATTATTATTCTTGGCACACAATAGACAAGTTCATCTGGACAGTGGGCTTTAAAGGAAGGGGTCTGGGGGATCTGGACAACTAAACCCGGAGTGCTGTCCATCAAGGCTTGATTCCTGCAAGATCCTCACACAATAACAAATCTGCAATGGAAAAATGACTTTCAAGGACTCGAACAGCTGGGGGAACAGGACCAGGAAAAACAGAAGATTCTGAATATTGCATAAGCAGTTAGCCAGTCAGACTTACTAACAGAGCTATAAGAGATTTTATAAATAAGTGTGTGTGTGTGTGTGTGTGTGTGTGTGTGTGTGTGTAAAAACAAGATTTTGGTCTGTGTTGCTAATTTGCTAAATACTTGAAAAATACTAAATACTTGAAAAATGTAATTAATATTTCAAAAGCCTGGCAGAAAGACAACTAAATAATCTCATGTATATTTCAAATTGTACTGTTACCTGCAACCTCAACCCTGTTACCAAAGTTATTGTATTAAAAAAAATATATATATAATAACAATAATAATAATAATGTATTATTATTATTATTTATAACAAATTGAATTTTATCAAGCACTACAATCCAACATTTGGATTAAGAAAAAAAACATTTGAACATCAAAAAGTAAAATAAGAAGAAGAAGAAGAAGATTTTTTTTTATTATTATATACATTTATATAAATAATTAATTCAAAATAAATGATTACAATATAAGGAACATGCATGAATTAAAAAAAATAATAATAATCACAGAAATCAGGATTTTAAACAGTACAGTATTTCTGTAACTGAGTTCTTGCTATTATAAAATTGATAAAATAGAAAAATTAAAAATAGAAAAGCAAAAAGAACACTGACTAAAAATCCTGTGTAATATTTAGTTAACCAAAAACTTCTGAAGGTTTAGCACAGACTTTCACTGACCAAAAAAAGAAAAAGAAAAAAGAAATAGATTCAGTTCAGGCTCTATTTTGTAGGCTATTCATGGAGAATCCCATTTATTCATAAGCAGAAATATTCACCTCTGTGTTCATGTTTTTATTCTCATAAATTGTAATTCAATGAGAATACGACAGTAGATTTCCAAAGAAAGGAAAATAATCACACACGCCGTTAGATTGAAAATAGAGCACAATAAACAAAGATGTGTGTGAACCGTCTTACTCCCTTGAGGGAGTTTAGCTCCCAAATAAACCCTTTCAGAACGTCGCAGACTATCAATTACGGTAATGACTTTCAG